CGGTCGTCGTCGTCGTCGTCGTCACCGTGGTCGTCGGCGTCGCCTGCTTTACCCTCCCTGTGCCGCTTTTGTCCTCCCTTCCAGTGGCACGGGGGCTGGAGACGACATCCCCACCAGACGACAGTCGCGCCAGCGCTGCAACAAACAGAGAGGAAAAGAGACGGGTTAGGAAAGAGAGAATTCACGCTGCGCGCCGGACTGTCTCTCCGCGCGCGGCTATCGTTCCAGACCAGGCACCAAGCTAGGGTCGCCGTGGCACCGAGGGTACTTACTTACCCCCACCACTGCTACGCCACCGGACTTACCCCCACTCCACCACCGAGAGAGGCAGCGGAGACACGTAGTGGTGGACGGTGTACACGACGATACACACTCACGTATACAAATGCGATCGGTCGCGCAGCGATAGTTCCACTAACACCGATACACTTTTCCTACCCATACTCCGAGATGGAACGTACGCTCGGTCGCCGCTGCATCCCCACCACACGGATTTTCTCATGAGACTCGGCATCCATCAACCTGCTGCTGCCGCCACAGTGTCTCGGCTCGTACCTACGATCGCTCGTATCGGGACACGGACGCTCCTCGCGATAAACGATTTCGAAGGGTTTCCAAAGATGTTTACGATTCTTTCTTAAACCTTTCTCTAGATATCTAGCGACGATTCTTTTGGTACTTTCAGGTTATTTACGGAGATTTCGACGGTTTTGTCGAGAGATGATTTTAGTTCCAGAAACTGACACCGATTGCCTGAAGTGTCATTTTTCAGGGAAAATGGAGGCAATTTTTTTTGTAAATTTAATAAGAAAGTAGTTGCACTAAAGTTTCTTAATAATTTACGCAATATTTGGATTGTTATTATTTTATAAGATGACTCGAAGTATATTTCTCGAGTCAAACGTCGTTTTCATACTTCGAGATACTCTTGTTCGCCGATCAATTAAAAACTACACGAATTCTGTCTAAATTAAAAGGCGATCTCATCTAACGAACGCATCGAAAGTTCAATGTCTTGATACTGGACGCGCTTTTACGCTGATATCGAAATATTATAGAAGTTGCAACGGCAGTCGACATCTGCTCTTCGAATTAACGTCGTATAATTCCCTTCTCGAGTCGCCACTATTCAGCTGGTATATGGCGGCATCTATGCAGGAAGACAGTTGCGGCGGCTCTTTCTACTCCTCAGCTATAAAGTTCTAATTTCCACGATTTCGACATGTTCATAGGTAAACTGATAAACAGGAAATGTGTATTTTAATAAAAACCTAACCTAAAAGGAATCTAACGCATAGTGTTACAACATCGAGGCATGCAACGGTGTCGAAGTACAATGCAAAGATAGAAAGTTTAATTTTCTAACATGCAACTCGAATTTACCATTGTTCCAGGTTTTCCATTATTTATAATGTTGTAACTTACATTTTTTCCAATAATAGACGAGATAACGCAATGTGGAAAGTGGAAAAAAAATAACAAAGAGAACGCGTGTTGGATATTTGTACGGCAGGAGGAAGAGTGTTGAGAAGGATAAAAAAAAAAGGGTTTAAGTAGGATATAGGGTGTCTCGAAAATTTAGCGAGATTTATTAAGATGAAAAATAACCTGTTTCGGAGATATTCGATCTTAAACGGTGCAATAACGCGTAAGTTACTCGTCGTCGCAAGTATCACGATTAGATGTTATCATTGGTGTAATTTGTAAGGATCGCGATAACGAGTAGCACGTCGATCGTTGTATATCGATTGTAATTCGACAATCCGCGTAAATTTATTTCGTTCGCGATTCTGTCACGTGTATCGTTCTAACGAGTGGGTATTTCTTGCAAAAAGTGTATTTTATGTTGTAGAGCAGGTTCGGTGAGGCCTAAAATCGAGAGTTTTTCCATTCTTTCGAAACACCTTGTATATAGTTTTCACTAATTTTTTCGATATTGTGCATGTTTAACATTCGTTGCTCGTTTCTTGCAGTGAACCTATTTGCACAGATTGTGTCTGCCTTTGACACACCTTGTATATGATTTTCATGAATTTCCTTCGACTTTGCACAGAATTTTCACGAATTTTCTTCCATATTGTCTTTTTGCATACAATTTTCACGAATTTTCTTCGATATTGTGTTTTGTTTGCATATAATTTCCTTCAATATCGCGTCCCCTTGCATATCATTTTCACGAATTTTCTTTGATAAGGCGACTGTTCGCATATAATTTTCTCAACTTTTTTTCTGTATCGTGTCCGGTTAAATATAATTTTCGCGAATTTTCTTCGATATTGTGTCTCTTTGCACACAATTTTCACGAATTTCCTTCGATATTGTGTTCGTTTGCACATAATTTCCTTCAATATCGCGTCCCCTTGCATATAATTTTCACAAATTTTCTTCGATATCGTGTCCCTTCGTATATAATTTTCGCGAATTTTCTTCCATATTGTGTCCGGTTGCATATAAGTAATTTTCACAAATCTTTATCGATATTGTGTCTCTTTGCATACAATTTTCACGAATTTTCTTTGATATCGTGTCCCTTCGCATATAATTTTCACAAATTTTCTTCGATATCGTGTCCCTTCGCATATAATTTTCTCAAATTTTCTTCTATATCGTGTCCCTTCGTATATAATTTTCACGAATTTTCTTCCATATTGTGTCCGGTTGCATATAAGTAATTTTCACGAATTTTTTTCGATATTGTGTCCCTTTCGATATAATTTTCACGAATTTTCTCCGACATCGTGTCCGTTTGTATACAATTTTCTCCAATATCGCGTCCCATTGCATAAAATTTTCACGAATTCTCTTCGACATCGTGTCCCTTCGCAAATAATTCCCCCAAATTTTCTCCAATATCCTATCAATTCGACATATCCATTCCTCCTTTCCTTCAATGATCCCACACACACAGCACCTACCAGTACCTCCAAAACACCCTACATACAGTTTCCTCAATTTCTTCCTACACCTTACTCCCTTCTTCCACGCAAATCACACCTAAAATTCTAAAATTCCCTGTACACATGTCTAACAGGCGTTGAACAATCGGAGGGAACGAACGCTCTGCAGGGATCGGCGACGTAGTTTCACAAGGGAAAACGCCCGCGGACACGGTGGCCCGAGCGTTGCTTTCTCAGAGACACCGACACCGACGTATATAGTCGTCGGAACAGTGGCCGTAAGGTCTCGAGGCGCTTTCCCTCCAGAACCGTCACGCTTTTCGCACCTGACGATTCCTATCTCAGGACACGAAAGTTTATGGGCCTTCTTTACCGTGCACGCACACACACACACACACATACACAGGCATTGTTCTCGATGGTATCGTTGCCGTGTTTCGCGTACGACGAAAACATCAATCGAAACTGTGCAGGTTAATCTCTCCTCTCTCCCTCTTCTTTGTCTTTCTACGCTTTTTATCTCGCGTTCGAATCGAGCCGCGCGGATTTGTGTTAAAAACGCTGACGGACGGTGAACGGAGAGGAGCAAGTCGAATATCACGGATTATAATACGTGGAATTATCGTGACCGGACGAATGTTGCACTTTTAACGACGAGCAGTTACGTTTGTGCCCCGGTTACGCAACCTGGAGGGAACATATGGTTACTTTCTGGAAGATCAGGGTTCTGATTTGACCGGCGTCTTTAATTCCCCTAATTGCGGCAGATGTGCGGGGAGATAGCATCTGGGTTCGATCGCCTTGTAAACGGAACGAAGAGATCGCTTTCTGTACTCCGTTGCCCCGGACAAATGACAATAAAACGATCAATTTGCGAGTCGAGATAGAGATCGTTGGATTTCTCGGCGGAGTCGGTTCCAAGAGAAAATTGCGCGTCTTTAACCCTTTCGTCACGGTAGATTTTAATGTGAAACGTGGGTGACCGACGGCAAATTTTCAACCGCGGCTGTAAAATTTGCTATTTTCGCCGCGTTGAGCGCGGAGCCGATTTCGCTCTGCTTCCCGTTCAGGCCGCACACAGCGGCGATCAGTTCGCGAGCTGTTCGGTTATAGAGCGCTCACACGGCATTCAATTCGGGTTGATAGAAGAAGTGTTCATAAATTGCAGAAAAAAAGAAGGAGATGTGCATAACATTTATTTTTTAAACATGACACTGCCGGTCCCACGGACCGGCGCCACCCGAACGAAAAGTTCACTGTCAGTCACCACGGACTGACGCCGCGCTTAACGTGTTAATCGAAAACTTTATTTCGGCGCGGTTGACGTGCATACTGTAGACGTTTTTACCTTCGAAACGCTCTGCGGACGCCCTTTGCCTGCAGAAGCGGGGGTAAAATAATAATAATTCTACCATGCCTACGGAAAATACGACTGCAGAGAGGTAAACTACTCACCCATCAACGAACAGACTCAGAAACCTCTCTGCGAGAAACTATTCGTATCTGTTATACTGGGTGGCGTATGTAAAAATGACCCGAAATGCAAAGTACAGTTCTACAATTTTACTTAACAATAATTTACTAATGTATAAAATAAATTTTCATCTCTGTACAAAATACAATTTTAAAACAGTATTTTGGGGCTAATTAAAACAACTTACCCCTCAACGAGTACTCATAAATCAGGTCGACCGAAACGGTCGAAGCACCCTCCCGCCATAAACACCGTCCAGAGACAAAAGTTAC